AAACTAGACAGAGTATAGACAGCAAGTATGCCAGTTAAGCTGTGAAAATATGGAGCTTGTTATAACCTACAAACGAGAAGGGATCAGGCCTAAATTAATTTTACCCCACAACTCCTCCTATTCTTCTTGAAATACCAATTTACTTCAGAGAGAAATACAAACAGAAATATAGAAATTAACAGAAAAAGACAGAGAAATACAGTATTAACAGTTTTTATACATAAAATTGAGTCTAAATAAATTTCTCCCCACTTTGAGTTGGTTGATTTAAATAGCAGTTTTAAAAAGCACTTACGACATGCCTTAAGACACACAAGCATCCAGAGTGGACAGAAATCTGCTCTTGCCACACAGGTAAGTAGCTTAATGACCAAGTAAAAGTGGACATTTGTCACACAGGTGACTTTGCCCAACGCTGTTCTTGTGGAATATTTACATCTTCATTACACTGAGCTGAGACATGGAGTCAGAGTGTCTCCAAAAATATCACTAAGGCTTTGTTTGCTTTCTTTTCCTCTCTAAAAGTGTAACCATATGCTAAGTTTAGTGGGTGTTTTTAGTTGTTTCTTAATTTGGAGTTTATTTAAATTTAAAAAAAAAATAGATTTGATTTCCAACCAGTAAGTCAGAAATAATTCTAGTCAAGTCAGCATAAACCAGGTACAAATTAGCATGAAAACTGAGAGGAACAGCCTCAGGTACATCAGTTTCAAGATCATCCAGAACATCCATTGCCCAAGCAGTGTGAACTTTTTAGACTGCCTTGGGATTCTGAATGTTATTACCAGAGAATAACACCTCTTTTAGAAAATAGACAATTCAAACAAAATTACCTTTAACTTTTTTGTGCCTGTTCACAGAAAACTTTTTCTTTTTGTAGAGTATTGCTTTGAAACATGCAATAGTTTAACAGCGGTTTTTGCATTAGACCTCCCAAAGCCAAAATTCCTATTACTGAAATTTTTCACCCCACTATTTTCTGTCTCAAAATGCTCTCTGAAACGTCAATTCACATTAACATTCAAAAAGAAAATTCAAAAACCCCTAAACAGCAAAAAGCCCCAACACACACCTCACAAAGCTGCATTCGTAAATTTTTTTAAACCACAAGTCCTCCTCAGTGCAGATACCCAAACTGTGAGCAGCATAAATCAACGCCTCTGTGAACACCTGATGTGCATTACCTACACATTTTTATATAATATGTCACCATCTCCTAACGCCCCATCTCTCAGCTCTCTGCTCCATTAGTGACCAAAGATGATGCTTTTTTTTGTCCTTCCTGACAGCATCAGAAACTGAAAACACAACCAATGACTTGCTGGCCAGGAACTAAGAATCAGACAAGCTCATATCCTGCCATCCTGATCCAGGCTGCATAGGAAAGTTAATGACTTGATGAGCAGCCCACCAAAGTGCCAAAACAAACCTTTGTAGGAATTGCCATGAGCCAGCAAACCACGTCCCCAGACCTCACAAAAAACACTGCCTCTGCATGGGACAGTGCACACTGAGCCTGGGAGAGAAGCAGTGAATGAACCCAGAGGCCACCCCAGTTTACAAGGATGACATGACATTCCTCTCCTTTGCTCAGAACATCTCTGAGGTGCCACAGAGCCTGCCTAGGAGATACCAGAGAGCACTGGCCACTGACCAGCAGCCCTTGTGGTCACTTCTGGAAGCAGGGTGGCCCAGCATAGTCAGCTCTTGGGCCTCTGGATTGCCCTGCAATCAAGCAGTGCAGACTCTCCAGCATTCACACAAATTAATTCAGAGAACGCTCCTTCCAGAATAACAAGGAGGGATGCATGAGTAGAGTGAGAGCTCTCTTGGCATCTGATTCAAATAGCAGCTTCTTGCAAGAAACTATTTTTAAGTTTTGTATCAATCTGCTTGAGAAAGGTTCCTTCTGCTGCCTACAAATGTGCAAACTCCCCCTTCGAAGAAACACAGCTCAGGACAGCAAGATCCAGCCTTGCACTTTCAACTTAATCAAGACCAGGTATTTCATGATCAAAGCATTGCACAACACACAACGTTCCTGCACAGTGTGTTCTGGTGACCTCCACCTGAGCATTAATGGGGTGAGGGCCCCCATTAATTCAATGAGTCCTGTGTGTTCTTCACAAGATTACAGGTAGCACACAGTTAGTTACCCGTGAAACAATCCACACTGAGGCAGTCTGACTGCTTCTGGAAGCATCACTGCTTTTTCCACTGCAACAGGCATGGAACTGCTATAGGAGATTAAGGAAAAAGGGAAAAAAAGGACAATTCAGTAAGCGTATGGATGCTGCGCATGACCTGACCAGTGAGGTGAAACCATTGTTTGCTGGGTTATCAGAAGTTCCTGTATGAAGGCATTGTTCAAGCTTAAGAGGTCTGTGAGAGAAAAAAAACAAGCAACAGCAGCACACAATGGATGCAGATAAGCAACGTCTGAACAAAGCCCTGGGCGGCTGCAAGACAACGGGAAAACTTATTAGCCACAAGCATCCTATATCCTGCCTCCCATAAAGCAACACAGATGTTTGCTAATGCAGGGGTGAAAAGACAAGAGAGCACTAAGCAGCTATTGAGCCCTCCACAGGAGAGAGGGTAGGTGTTCCACAGCTGATGGGCACAAAGACATCCACAGGATGGGCACAAAAAGCCTCTTAAAGGGTCTGAGAATGTAACACCTCTCTGGTGACAGGTAAGGGTGGCCACCCTTATAGCCAGGAGCCCCTCAAGACCACTGCAACCAGAGCTTTGCAAGCCCAGCTCTGGCCCAGAATGACCATTGTCTGAGGGTTTAGCTCCCAGGGGGGTTATCTCCAGTGGGACATGCATGGCATTAGACATGCACACACTCAGGCTGCAGCAGTGGGGACCACAGCCCCCCACAGCACCGGGAAATAGGGCTCTGTCCACTGAGAGCTGCTGGATCCACGGCGCTGAAGGAAGTGCTCCAGCACCCACTGTCCTGTCTGCAAAGAGGGGTGCAGAAACAGCTCTGCACATTTGGACCTCTCCTCAAGTACTTCCCAAAGACAGAGCTGTCAGCCCTCCAGGAGGCTTTCCTAAGTCCAAAAAACCTGTTCTCTGGGAAATTCAGGCCACTTAACCAGCACGTACTGGGCATCTGCTACTGTGTCATGAGGAAACTGAAACCAGAACGTTATTTAACAGCCAGTTACACAGGAAACACTCTGAGCTGCAGAAGATCGACACCCTACTCCCTACCCTGGGTTGTTTTTTTTTGTTTTTGTTGATTTCTTAACATGGTGCTCCCCATCCCATCCCCACTGCTGAAGTGGGAGAAGTGTTTGCTCATACCAGTGGGTGGGATTTTGGGATTTGAACCCCAGCTGCCCATGGCCTTGGTCCTGTACATCATCCCAGCCCCAGCTGTGCAGAGGGGCTGGCACAGCTGGGCGTGCTGCAGGAACTGCACTGCCAACAGCACACGTGGGGAAGTGTCACACACGGGGTGACAGCACAGCTCAGAGCCCAGTGGCTGCACTGGGACACCTCCCCAGGATGCTGCAAACACCAGCAAGGGGCACAAAACTATCCTCCACAGCGTGACAGCCCTCCTTTCCATTCACAAATATACATAATAAAATATTAGCACATTAATCTCTTCATTAAAAGTATCTGCACTGCCACTGGCTACAATTCAAAAGTTTCAACGGCATAAAAAACAAGATTTTTTTCCCCCTTCAATAAAAAAATGTTTGTCTCTTACTGTCAGCAAACCAGCAATGTAAATGAACATTTGAAAGTCACTGTATAACTAAGAGTAATTTAATATAACCAGATTAAAAAGAGAACACTGAATGCAAACAGAAAACTTGAGCTTCTTGGAAAAAGAAAACAGAAATGAAAACATGAAGAAGCCACTAACAGGAACAAATGGGTAAACCAGTGTTAGTCCAGACCCAGTCCTAGTCTGAACCTCTGCATATATAACTCTACCAGTTCTGTTACTCATTATGCTCGAATAAACACAAATCTTTTCAAGCAACAGTTGAAGTTCAAGAGAAAACTTTTAAGATTATAAAATTTTCCAGACTCTTTCTAGAAATTTTAACAGGTTGATTACTTTGGTCAAAACATTAAACACAATGTCAAGAATTCTCATCTGCTATCAGTTATCCATATGGTCTCAGAGTAAAAAATACTTTTGAGGAGTCATACATTTGGGAAAAAGAAAAAAAAAAAAAGTGGATCTCCCTTTCCCAAGAACCATGGTGAATAAGGCCAGAAAGAGATGCCCACATCCCCCTCCTGTGAGCCCCTCCACTCCTCACCCTGACTCACAGTCCAGGTCTTTGGGATTTTTGAAAGTCATGCCTGGAACTCCAGCAGGGACAAGCAACCAAGAGCTATTTACTGCCTCCAAATTCGACTCTACAAGGACAAGCACCAACCTCAAGGCTCAGCCATAGCTCCAACAGGCCTAGCAGAGCCATTGAGTTCGTGGGTCCCAAGCAGAAAGCACTTCCCCAATGACCATTTCTGGAAATGTTGTTCTCCAAGTATTTTGGCTGGTCCTCATCTACAGGACAACCTTAAAGTGCATTTGCAATTCTGTCTCCAGGAAATACATGTTAAGCTGATTCATTATCTTAAAATGTTGCTTTCATTTTCGCTCATTAAAAACACATTTCAGATCCCTGCACCAAATGCACAGCTGATGTGATCTGGACACTCAAAACTGGATTTCAGTTCTCTCTGCTCATTTTATTTCATTTGCTGCCCACACCAGTGTTCTCTGTTTCAGAGACAGCTGTATCAGACCTGAGCTACCACTGAAAAGCACCCTGGATAAAATCCTCTCTCCCTGCAATGCCTGGCACTCCAGTCAGACTCAGCCTAGATTTCAGGAGCAGCATCCTCCCTGCAGCCACAGAGCAATAAACAGCAGCTCTGCACACCCCACACCCCTGCCTGAGCCACTGGGAAGGGAAAGAAAAACAAGGAAGCTTAGGCAATGCACGCGTTACAGTCCTCACCTTTAGGGAGTCAAAGCAGGCAATAACTCGACCATTTTCCACATGGCAACTCCGTGACGGATGGGCGAACTTGCACTCTGCATCAGACCGAGAACAAGTCCCTCTCTGAAACTCTCGACACACTTCTAACGTCAGCCATTTTGTATCACGAACCAGGGAAACGTTTACAGCCATATTAAAAAACAAAAATTAAAATGCGCAAGCAATCGCACCCTTCCTCAGGGTAATGTTTACTGCTGATCTTCTTTTTCTTCTTTTTTTTTTTAAAAAAAGGGTAAAAAAGTGAATTCAAGTTAAACGTGAAGAAATAACTAACTTGTTGCTTTGGTAGAACTCCTATTCATCAGCACTTAGGTTTTCATTTAAGTCAAATCGTGTTTCTTTAAACAAGAATTAAACATAAAGCCAATCATAAAATAGAAATCTTATCAGAACAACTGAAAATCAAATTAGAGGCCAGCTCCTAAAAGTGCAATTGTAGAAGTTAAAATACAAGTGTTATATTTTGTGCCACTGCCAAAGTTACTTGCAAATAACTGGCAGACTTTCAAAAGAATTCTGTGCTCTCCAGTTAATGGTTTCAATTATTCTTGCAAAAAGCATATGCTGCTGGCAGCACTTCAGTTTGTGGAATGGTCTCGGTCCTTGGGGAGAAAACTTCGGGTTTGGTTTTTTTTTTTTCCTTCTATTTCTTGCTTCTAAAAATTATGGTTCACGAGCATCAAAACAGGCAAAAGGATGTCTGATTTTTTTCCTCTTTCTTTTCTTTTAAATATTTGCTACATAGTCGGGAGAAGGAAAAAAAATAAAATGGCTGAGCAAACTGCGTGTAAATGGGGAGCAAAAAAAAAAAAAAAAAAGGGCAAGGCTGGAGGAGCCGCCGTCAGGGCACGGACTGCAAGCAACGCCGAATTAAACAGAGAGGGGGGCGAGGGGCAGAGAGAGGCAGCCCTAGACAGAAATCCAAGCAGCGGTGGCTTCAGGAAAGGCACTTTTCAGCAACCTGCAGGAAAAAGAGAAATAGAATCAGCCAGGAGCCTGCGGCCCCGCTCGGGCGGGCGGGCGCGGGGCGGCGCCGGCGGCCATTGCGGGCACGGGGGCACTGCCCGCGCCGCGCTGCGCATGGGAGGCGGCGCCGGCCAATGGCGCTTGCCGTTACAGCAGCACCCGCGGGCAGCCGACCAATAGCAGAGCCCGTTTCATAGCGCCGCAGCCCCGGGACCCTCCGGGACAGCCCCAGCTCCGGGCTGCCCCTCACAAACCCTCCCGGACTACCGGGGATAGTCTGCTCTTCGGTATTTTTAATTTTAAATTGACATTAACTAACCCACCCCCTTTTCTGTAGGAAACGTTCGGGCAGGAAGAGCAGCCGGTGGCTGTCTTCCATGCCGGGCTCCTGCTCAGCCCTGCACCGCTCGCACCTCCAAGGTGTTCCATCAAAGCCTGGAGATGGCACATGGAAACAAACGGCTGGCTCGCAGCCGCTCCTCTGGATTCAGAGCCTGCAAAACTAAGAGCAAACCCGACAGGGAAACCTAAGCCACACACACGCACACACACACACACGGAAAAAATTAACTCATTGCTCACAGCTGTAGTTTTCCACCAGACCAAAGGCAACTCGAATTACTCTGACTCCAGCAACTCGTGTTATACAACAAACAACTTTCAATGCATTCCAGTTGAAGGCTTCCTTGGCATCCGCTAAAATGTTAAGCTGTCTCTAGAGTCTCCCATTCTAATATTAGCTGTACCATTGCCGCCTGATAGGATTGAGCTGTTTCCAAGTTCCCAAAATCCAGCCCTTTATCTTCCTAAAGTACGACCGTCCACTTTTGCAAACATTTGACAGGCGCGGGATGTCGCCTGTGTGACTGCTATTAAGATTTCAAGCTTTCGTAGGAGAAGAGCCTTCAACTACAAAAAAAGGAAGCTTAAATTCCTCTTTCATTATTGGTGTGTTATTGCAATTACACTGATCAGTAACTGAAACCTACTGGAGCTGGAAACAATGGAAACAATGCTACCAAGGAAGAAGTGTGGGAAGAGGCTGTCATCAGCAGCAGGGGGTGGGGCACAGAGGCTGTTTGATTCACAGATCGAATTATTTCAATTTAGAAAAAACAACACTCGTTAAACCTACACTGCAAGTACTTTCTAGGCTTAATTAGACACAAGTTGATAACAAAACCTGCCTAGATCCCTGCAATCCAGCTTGAGGCATCAGCACAAAGCTTGGTCTGACCCATGCTTCTGGAAGGACCTTTGCATTTTTGCACATCAGGTGGGGAACAGACTGCAAACGTCATATTTGCTAAGCGTGTTTTAAACTTCAAAGAGAAGGAAAAGAGACACATCTAACCATGCTCGTGTCTTTTGGGTTTTGTAAAGAAGAGCTGCTCTAAATCAATTCCAATTTTGCAAACAGGGCAAATTTATACAGGAATCCCATTCACTGATATGTGGGCTCCCAGTTCAAATGAGCTCAGAAAGCAAAAGAAAGGAAAAGATGGGCAGAAACCTTCTGCAGGGAGCTAAGGACTAGCTGGGTGCAGCTCTTAAGAACGAGCTAGAACAGGTCAGATATGGGTGGGGATTAGAAAGAATGCACTCTCAGAAGTTCTTCCGAGCAGACTGAAATACAACCATCTTGTGGATTAAGTGTCTATTCCACAGCTTCAGACTCCCAAGGGAAGTGAGGGTCTCTCAATGCTGTGGATAGAATATGATGGGTCTGACTTAACACACAGTTACACCAAATACCAAGATGTCCAAACAGTGTAGTAACATCCACCCTTCCCAGCCCCTGAACCTGAGGAAATCCCAGGGTAACAAACCAAATGTTGATCTTGCTCTCAAGCCATGCAGCTCAGGATCACACACTGCCCACAGGTACGTGGCTGCACTAAACTGCTCAGTTCTCAAAATGAAGGGCATCATGTTAATTACAGCTAAATCAAATTAATTCAACAGAACATTAAACTACAAACATCAAAATATTCAGACACATGTAACACGGTGGATATTTTTCTTTACAACTCGTGGGGGGGGAAACAAACCCACTGATGGAAATTGCCCCTGCCCCACACCCTGCAGAAGGGCACACTCATCTGTGCAACATTCAAGAGACAAGAAATTTTCTGTGCTGTGGAAACAACCCACCTCCCTGCAGAAGGATTGACTCATCTCAGACCCTGGCACTAGAGCTCCTGTACTGGAGGGAGCCAAATTAATGAATACATTTTTCATACCACGATTCTGCAGCCTGCAAGGCACCTGGCAGAGCACCGCAGCAGCACACACTGCCCCATCACTTGTTTGCTGGGCACTCAGGGGAGCAGTTAAGCACATGCTTAACTCTGAGCATAGACAGTCTTTCTGGAAAGAAAATCTGAAGCAGGTACTTAAGTGCTTTGCTGTATCAGGGCCTAAATAAATGAATCTGCTTCACAGGTTTATCAGGACTGGGAGGCCAGCAAGCACAGGCAGCAGTCATCGTGTTCCAGCTTACATGATCACAGCCCAGAGGAGCACGAGTTAGGCTTTTCTGCAAGTCAACAAATACAGTGTCTGTCAGTGTTTGGACTGCTGCAAATCCCTCTCCACGTGGTCACGGGGAAGGCTGGAAAGGCACGCATGCAGGGCTGACATCACAGCGAGCTGCACACTGCTGCAGCGAGGCTCCCACGCACAGCCCAAGGACAGCACACCTCAGACAGGAACCAGCACTGACAACAAGAGCTTCAGCTCTCCAGGTTTCAACTCCTGGCAGCAAACAACTGTTCTCACCAGAATGCACCCTTACAATTCCCTTTTTGGGGGGAGGGTGTGGGGTGGCTGGCATTTTATTCCCTTTGTTCTCCTGTATATTTCAAATGAGAGAAATTAAAAAAAAAAAAAAAAAAAAAAAAAAAGCATCCATGCCAAAACCAACATACAACCTACAAGGATTAAAAAGTAGCTCCAGAAATCAGGGGCTTCGTTAGCGTGCAGGAAATACAACAAAGGGTAGGTGCTGCCTTTTGAACCCTTCCCAGCAAGCCAGATCCGTCTGGCAGGGCTCAGCTCCTCCACTACCAGATGAGCCAATCTCATTTCAACGGCATCCGCATCAAAGCTGGAGAAAGCAGCAGAGCAGAGAGAAAAGCCTGTGGCCTTTATCCCTGCAAAGAAACTGCAATATCCCTGAAGCCTCTGCTCCAGGGCCACTTGCTGGGCCAGGCTCTAATTGCCCGAGCTGCAGGAGGATGGCGCTTGCTCCAGATGTCTGCCCCCACCTTACAGCTACCGAAGAGCAGGGGAGCAAGGGCAGTCTGAGGAGCAAAGGTCACACCAGGGCTCGCCCCTGGCGGGACTGAGATGCCCTGACCGCTTGAGGTAACGTGAGGACGAGAGTATTTCACTTGACGCTTGAATTCCTCCTGCTTGCCGTGAAACTGATCCCCTTCCACTGACAGCCCCCATGGATGTCAGCTTGTGAGGACACTTCCTGACAGCCGAGTTCAGAAATGGTAATTTATGTGACAGGACGGATTTGAGCAGCTCCCAAGTGTAAATGATGCTATTTAAAAGAGATTTTTTTCTTCTTTTTTCTCCTTTTTTTTTTAAGAAAAAATGATTCAGTAGAAGTGCCAAGGTGGGTTCCTCATTTACTGTTTTTCAAGGATTTCTGGGTCACAACTACTCAGTTGGGAAACAGAAGTGCTGTTGTCCTAACTCACAGTCTAGTGAGTAAGAACAGCAGCTATTCCCTTCACTTGAAGAGGAATAGGGATACTGCAAGCACACTGGAGTTTTCCCAAGGTTAAGTTCCAGCCGTGCCTGTTTTTATCATATGCGATGCTGTCCAAGCTCCTCTTCCACTCAAACCACCAGCAGGTGACCATGGAACTGAGGACTGGCTCTCCTGAGTCCAAGCTCAGCCCTACACTGGCAGGCTGCAGTGTGCTTTACCTAGCTTTGCAAGTTATGGTGAATGAAAGCTCAGACCCGTCATAGATGGATGGATGGATGGATGGATGCCCTCAAGGCACAGCAATAGAGAAATTGTGCTTGCAAAATCAAGACCTCCAATTTTATACCAATTCCACTAAAACTAAATATTGCTATTAATGTTCACTGAGTGTCTAGATACTGTCAGAGCCCAAAAAAAGACTTTAGTCTATGGGTTTTCCTCAAAGCACTAAATTCAGGTGGCAGTACAAATGCCACACTCACTCATCAGGCCTTGCACCTTTGAGATGATTCTGTAACTTGGGCTTTTTATTGCACCTTAATGAGTATGGAAGAGCTTGGTGTGCCTACCACCACACCCTTGATAAGCCAGAATAGGGAACTCCTCACCCAAACAGCAGTGAGATGTTTCCATTATCAAACAATCTTCCAAATAAACACAGTGTTCCTGGAAACACTGCAAGGCAAAGAGAAATGGGAGCAATGAAAATAGCACACTGAACTGTTTTGTTCTGAAAGAGAAAGAAAACTCTGTGGAGAATACCACCACCCATCCAACAGCCTTCCTTTCTCTTCCACTTTCACAGCAAGTAGTAAAAAACACATGAAACTATATCCTTGCTTATCAAAGGAACCAAAAAGTTATAGTCAAAGGCAAGGTGTTGCTGAAAAGCATTTTACTGTTAACATTTATTGGCAGTGATGCATGAGTTAAGATAATGCACATTTCCAAGTCAGTGAGGAGGGGAAACAAAAACGTTTAAAAAATCTTCACCTAGGATCTACCAAGCCAGGAACACAGTGACATTGAGTTGGCTGACATCAGAGAAGTTAATTTTGGGCCTCAGAAAAGCCCATGACAAGTTAGGTACTGTCACCATTGGATCACAAGGCTTTACTTGGGACCGATGCAGAAGTGCTGCTTCACGACAGCGAAAGAAACCACAAAAATAACCCTCATAAATCCAGGCGTGGATCCTCAATTGCTGAAGCACCAATGACAATGCTCTTACCCTACCTCACATAAAGCACAGCAGTGTTCAGATTCCC